TTGCAAGACATCTTACCTATCTCACACATATTTGTTTTAGTGACGAATGTAGGTACATTTTTTTCAAGCGGCAATGTTCACAGACAAAATTGCCGTCATTGGAGTGACACCAACCCTCACGTTTTCCGGGAAACACAGAAAAAATTAACGTTTGGGCAGGAATATTGGGAATCCATATTGTGGGACATCTATTTATTGATCAAAATTCAACAGGGGATCTGTATTTGAATATGCTGGAAACTACTGTTGACCCTCTCATCACTGACATCGTCGAAGCGAATCCATATGATTTCGATATGGATGTTGTATTCCAACAAGATGGAGTACCACCACATTACTCCACAAAAGTAAGAAACTATTTGGATACTATTTTTCCCGGTCGTTGGATTGTCCGTCGAGGTCCTACAGATTGACCAACATGCTCGCGAGATTTGACACTTTTGGACTTTTTTATGGGGCTATTTGAAGCAAAAGGTGTACGAAACTGAACCTGCTTCAATATTGTACACACGATAGAGAATAATAAATATTTGTAGAGATATTGACGTTAAGTACTGTGTTCGAAAATGTTCGGCGTGAAATATCGGATAGGCTGTTCGTATATCAAGAAGTTCAAGGCAACTATTTCGAGCACTTTCTGAACTGACCTCAAGCTTATTACTACATATTATGTAGTTGAATGTCAATGTATTCAGGCAATTATTAAATGTTCGGCCATTTTGTAGTAGGTGAAGATATTGAGTTCATATCCTAGGGTTGTGAATTATTCGTTAGAAGCTTCAAAATGATGTGTCACAAAACCCCCTTTCCATTTAAATTTTTTTTCCCAGATAGCGCCCAGTCGCAATCTTCAAAGTATCATATGTCAATTTCACTTCAAAATAAAGTATTCATGCATTTATTTCGTTATCCCAAATTTCAATTTATTGTGTTAACCCGTTCAAAAAATAAACAGGGGGGGAATTATAGAAATGCCCTGTATATTCTCTAAATTACTCAATAAAAATAAAACGAGTGTGTCATGGAAATAAAAAGGAAGTAGAAATTGTATTCTCAGCCCTACTGTTCATAGCAGTAATAAGAGGAGATGTTGGAGATAAGCTTATCAGAAATATATGCGGATGATACAGTTACTCTGGAAAATGTATAATATGATGAGTATGATAACAAAACAAAGGTTGAATTATTGATTAACTAAACAACGTAAAAAGTATGATATACTATAATTTGAAGCTGTCAACACCCATAAAGGGATAAAGAAGTTAAATTATTAACTTCGACCTTATGCATTTTCAACTGTATACAAGTGTACAAAATCGAAAACGAAGTTGAGAAGTCAAATCGAGGGTATGTGTAAAGATTTTGCTCCTGGCTATTACTCGAAAAACGTATAGATCTAGAGACAATTATAGCATGAAATTCTATCTGCTTGAAGATAATTCGCATTGACACTTCACTACCATAAACATAACTTCATAAAATGCATGTGTTACGAGTTATAATTGACTAAAGCAGCAGTTCACTATCATAATATAAATCTCTTTTATTATCATTCAATTCAAACGTCACATCAATAAAGACATCAGAATTGCCTAGGTTTATGAACATCAAATTCACAACAATAGACAATGTCCCAATAAGGAAGTAAAAACCATACTCTGTGAATATCTTCTAGTATCCAGATTCAATGTATACACCTGTACACCGAACATAATCATTCAAACAATCTTTTTCATACCAGATCGCACAAAGTGTATAACACAATCTCTGATGAATTTAAACTGATGTCTTTGGAAAAATTCAAGGGTACTGAAACGGAAATATTTGAACGAAATCTAATGTACACCCATTGACAATAAGAATGGTCGTTCGTTATATAATTTTTTTTCTTTTTTGCATTATATAAATATTTTTTTGCCCAAGATGAAAAACATTTTTTTTATCGACCTTTTTTTGGGTAATTGTTACCTTCCACAATCTGAAAAAATATAAAAATTATAATGGAGAACTTTATACAAGTGTAGAAGGGCAAACTTTTTAGTTTACCCCGATAAGTTACTGCGTAAAAATCAAAGTATTTTTCACAAAGAAAAATCTTCTATTTATCAGTAACTTGTCGTATTTAACTATTTTGCTGATTCTTTTAGCTTACGTCTCTTAGAATCAGCGTATATTCTCATGTCTGGAGAGAACTGTATCTCGAATAGCTCCTTAGAAATAGACCGTACTTGGCTACCCATCTTGAAGAAAACTTTGAATAGTGGCGAAATGGCAACAAACTGATATCGGAGAGTACCTTGTATTACATCGAATATTTCAGTTGTCAATCAACAACATTGACATAATTTCATATTTCAAAACTTCTTTGACATCTATCGAAGAAGTGAAACATAAAGTTTGTAGACAGGTCAGTAGAAAAATACATTTAAAAATTTATATAAGGTCATACATTAAAATTGGTTAATGATAAAAAAATAGAATATATTAAAAGCAGATGTACAGTAGTTGAGATGAATAAAGGAATAAAATTGTTTCTCTGTTTCTGTGTACCTACTTTGCAGACATCACACTTGTTACCTATTATATCGTTTCACCTCCCTAAAGTTAGTTCTTGGCTGTGCTCAGGGCACATGATTCTTGGACCCAATGATCACTTACCCCTCCTGTATGCCCGAAGCTTCAAATGTATCGGGGCATCGGAAACAGGGTCCAACCAGCACATCTTTTCAACTTTGTGATATGGCAACTATTTACAGAATGAAGAGAAATTTTTGAATTACTGATTCTTATTTAAAAATGAAAATTCACGAGTACCATGTTGATAGGTATCGCAAGTTAAAAGGTAGGTACCATTTTGTACTTCTTAAATAAAGAAGGGGGTTCATTTATCTTATAGTGGTTGGAATCAATGCATAATTTTATGGACCTGCATTATATTTTTTTCAGGTTTAGTAATAAGTACCAAAAAAACGTTTCACGTTTTTTTTTTATAAAGAACGACAACTATTCGACAAATATTGATAACAGAAAAGACAACATTTGAGTCTCATTAAGGGTGACTGTGCTAACTTGATATCAAGTTAAAGCAGCTACTCCTTACAAAAAAGTAGGAATGGAACATGTTTTTCGACAAATACTCGACAATTATTCATTCAACAAGTAAAAATATACATTTCATTAATTTTACCATTAATTTTAGTGCAAGCAGCCTTGCAACTTTATAGACGAATAGTTTTCTGCATCGCCCTGTATATTAACATTCCAATACAACGAAAAACTTGTACACTCCCTTTGGTATGTGAGGTTGAACTTCATTCTCAGTTTTAGTTTTATCAACGTCATTTCAGACTGTTCACAGCCAACGCAGAATATAATAAGGCGTGTGGAACAAACTTTTACGATTTTTACCTGTGCGAGTATATACACCTCTCTCGCAACTACCGTCTCTGCTTTAGTGACCATCAAATGACTCATTGAATGATACATAGCTAGCAGAAATAACTGTCACCAATTAAAAATAATCAGCTGAAGTGGACGAGCGAGAAACAATAGTTGTTGGATTCGTAAGAGATGAGGCAATGTCAAGTTCAACTCGGCCTTTTCTAATTTCTAATACTTTTTCTATAAGCAATTAGGTGCGAATGTTGCAAATATTTGAGTTCATTTATTTGAGGATCCTGATAAAAAGTAGATAACTATTTCTCTTCCACCTCGAAATAATCAGGCGATAATTTATGAAAATCAGGTATACTTTTATACTTATGTAAATGTGCTTCGGTCAGGTAATAAATAATACCCTCAGTTGACACAGCATACCAGAATAATAAACATTTTATTTTTTTATTTACAACGTGCAGTTACTTGACAAGCACCACCTTGCAGAAAGAATAGCCCAAGGCAAACTGCATCAAAGTGCATACACCCTGCCTTTTTTCCTTTCTATTGAATTCCAGACAAAACGCTATTGTTTATAAACAAATTCGCCAGATATTGATTATTAACTACATTTTCCAATTGGTCTTACCTTCTGACAGTTCCAAATCCAGTTCGGCCAGTTTATCTCGGACATCCTCGGGAAGTTTGGAAATGTCTATGTTGAGGTGGTCCCCCATGGTACAAAAAATTGTCACTAATCACATGAAAACAACACAATACCGTTCGGAAACTACACCGCACTAGTCACAACATCTGCCATTTTGCTGAGTTTTGACTGATCGGTAAATTTTTTGTTTGCTCTACCCGACACGACAGCTGAGAGGCTAGATTCCTGTATTGAAAATGTTCGCGTCCGAAATAACACAGTAAGAAAGCTCGTGTAGGCAACCAACGTTACGCTTATCGGAAGGTTCAAACGCCAACAGGTTATATTACTTTTATTACACTCTTGTTGATTCATAGAGGGGACAAATTTGAAGATTGTCAATATTGGTAATTTGAACTGTTTAAGTTAGATTACCTTACTTGAAAAACCACCGAGGGTCTATTAAGAGGTTTACATTATGAAAACGTTAATTCACAGAGATCTTGTAGATAAATGCGATAATTAGGGTGAAAATAAGTGTAAAGGGGATAGAGATTCTCAGATCAATTGGAAAATTGATGAATTTCAGGTGTGAAAAAATAATAACTCTTGAGTCTGTGATATGAAATTTTGACCAAATCATGTAATTTTCAACAGAGTCCTGTCGGTGAATCGAAGGGATAAATTTCAAGATTGGCAATACTGGTACCTGATGAAAACTGTTTAGAGTTCATATTACGTCACTTGGGTTTGCAGTTTTATCGGAAAAATGAACACTCGAGAGACCGCCATATGATATTTTGGACAATATCATCACATATATCTTTTTGTCATTCATCTTGAAGTTGGAGAACTGATCATTTTGATATTGAAGAACAAACCAGAAGGGGATTATACAAAGATAATTATACCACTATAAAAAAAGATGCCTTCAAAAGCAACTGAAAATTATGAAGAAAATAATATCGACCTGCTGGCGAAAAAAAGAGTTTTGGAAATTTGAAAACTACTAACAGTCAATCAATATGATTTTAAATCAATCAAATAAGAAAGGTAAGTCACTAAATTTGCCATGAAGAATTATTTTTTCATCAAACAGAAATGACATTTCTAACGTTTTCTTAATTTCAAATCAAATGATATATACCTATGTTGCTTTTCCTTTATGCACAATGATGTAGGCCGGATATTTTGAATCGAATATGTCTCCCCATCTCTTAGCGAATGATTGAAATAGAAATTTTAGGACTGTAGGGACCATTAATTTGAGTTTAAAAATATAAAGTTGAACTTGCTGGATGATGTGAGTAGATTAAGTAGATGATGTCTATGAAAGGTTCAAAATTTAAAAAAATATGATTGAGTATAGTACAATACAGGATTATATTACAATCAACTTAAGAGAGCATGAAGTATCAAACGTTTACCATATGAAAATATCACACAGTGATCCAAATACATACTGAAATTTGAATGTAAATAATATAAATCAACAATTCATCTATAATTTCAGCTTTCAATATGATATTTACAAATACCTACATCAAACTTTGAGAACGAAATAGACAACTTTGTGATATGGCAACTATTTACAGAATGAAGAGAAATTTTTGAATTACTGATTCTTATTTAAAAATGAAAATTCACGAGTACCATGTTGATAGGTATCGCAAGTTAAAAGGTAGGTACCATTTTGTTAATCTTTAACCAATTACATAATTTGTAACATTAGCATGTATGTTATATGCGTATCGGATTTATATTCTATATATCGCATAAATATTCAACTAACACTTTATTATGAGAAAATATTAGGTACTTCATTAACTTATGGATTTACATCAAAAATCGGCCAATTCCATTGAAAAATCACTGATGCATAGTCAATTAGTAGTCTGTTAAAATAATAAGGTTAATGTTCAAACATTGAAGATGATCACTTGGTGATCGAAACACGTGTCGAGGTGTTAAAATAACGGTATGATGTTTCCGTGGGTTGGACTACCTATCGGGCGCGTCCCCCGATAGGGGAACGACCAGGGGATGGAGGCCCTGTCTTCCGGAAGCCAATGTGACCGTACGGACGGGATCGCCAAACTCCTGGTCAGTGGTAGAAATAAGTAGGGTGAGGGGAACTAAAACTCCCCAAAAGCCACTGCGAAACATGCCACGATGGACCAGCCTACGCAAACTAAGGTGTAAGGAATCGTGCCGACAGCTGAATGGCCGCAGAGTGATATGCGGTCACGAACGATGCCCTTGGGGAACTGGACGAAACATCATTGCAATCACCCTACCTCTGGTAATGCGGGGCTCTGCTACAGGTGACCAACTCTTCCCTTGCTACTCGTGGGAACACACATGAATGAAACAAACACAAAAACAAGGCTAGACAGTAGTGCTCACCTCAATTTAAGGCGGTGGCTGCGCATGAATAGAAATGTCCACCCCAATCTACCGCTTGGAATGAGGCTGGACATAGCAGATCACCTCGTGATGTAATACAAAGGCCAAGGCGAAAGCCCATTTGCGGTCCCGAGGCCAAAAGGAAAAAGAGAACGATAGAGGCAGGAGTGGCAGCAACTATAAGTTCCCCCTCCTCCTCCCCCACTTCTCCTCCAACAGCAAGGGCACTTTCTGCGGTGGGCGTCAAGAGCTCCGCCTTGAATAAAGGCAAGGAATCGGCTGCCCCTGCAAGAAAGCTCCCTCAGTTGTGCACCTCCACGGAGGGAACCCCAAGAAGGTTAAAGAAGCCGCGCAACGACAGTAATGTCGCTGCACCTTCCAAAACCTTCGCCAAGGCCACCGTGAGACACCTCAAGGTTGCCAAAGAGAGTGTGTGTTCGGCGAGTCTTGGCCTACACCTGCCAATATAAAGTAGATGTCTCCTAGTGACCTGTTCACCTTCTTGGACAGGACAGGATGGACGATGACCTGGGAGGGCAACTCCTCGGGAGGATGTACAATGGGTCACACTTGGCCTAAGTGCTGTGGGTGTACACTCACCCTCCCTACATTACAGATACCAGATACCAGAATGGTATGGTGTTGGGAAAAAACTCCAGTAATATTCATATGAGTAATGAGTTGATAATTGTACTCACCTTCACAATGGAGAAGAAAATCCACAACGAATTGCCATTCTTAGACGTATTGGTTAAAAGAACCAACACTTAGTGGGAAACATTTGTATACCGAAAACCCACTCACACGGGCCAGTATCTGAATAACTAATCCAACTACCATCAGTCTACGAAAAGAGGAATCACCAAGACTCTAATCACTCTAGTGGTTCGTGCTTTCCAGCTCTGTAATACGAAGGAAGCTTTCTAAGAAACTAGGCATCATCAAAAAAGATATTCAACGGAATTGTTACTCCAAAGTGATAGTGGAATCGATTTTGGCTAAAAGACAGCGAGAGCCTCGCAAGGAAGAGAAGCCGTCACAACCAGTGCTTGCCCTTCCCTACGTCGGAGGATTGTGGCAAATCCTTTATCGGTGAAACTAAGAGACCAATGAAAGTCCGCATTGTCGAGCACACGAGAAACACACAGCGAGGAGAAACCAGCAAATCGGGAATAGCAGAGCATATTTGGACTCATCAACATAACATCAATTGGTCCCAAGCTGAGATCATCTACAGGGAAGAACACTGGTTTGAAAGAAAGTTCAAATAAGCTGCATATATGTTGTTCAACGACGCCTCTAGCCAAGTTAGCGTAGAGAAACGCAACATATGGAAACCTTTATTCAAGCGGAAAAACGATCAAGTCCCACTAAACCGGTGAAGCGGAGAGAGGGAAGAGGAAATAGGTGAAAGCGTTCTATAAATAGTCATCTCTCGGAGGAATGGTTTAGTCTTCACCCGAAGACGATTGTGGACTCTTTTTGATTTTTTATTCTTCATCTTCGTTCGTTCAATTTTAAATTTTGTGCTCATTTTTATTTTATTGTAATTTCATTTGACTGTTTATTGCTGGATATAATTGTTATTTTCAGCAATTCATTTCAAAATTAAATTTTATTCGTTTTTCAGAGATTTCAAGTCGTATTATATCACAAGAGACAATGGGAATCCGAACTGGTCAAATTCAACAACTGTGAAGTTCGTAATGCATAGGAAAATAACTCACGCAGACAGGGACAGTTGGATAATATTTTCTGAATCTGTTTTGAATAACAATTCATGAATTTCTTCAAATTCTAATACAATTTATGTGATAATGTTATCCATAGGAAATGTTTGTGATATTGCTGTTATGCTTCATGCTCAATGGGAGCATAACAAAATACACATTATGAGGAAATAACGTTGCATATGCATAAATCTTTTTACACTTAGTTCATTGAAAAAGTTAATGAATTACAAATTGGAAACGGAGATCTCCTGATGAGTTTCGATATTTGTTCTCCAATGTTCCTGTTGAATTATAAGAACTCGATTAGAAATGATGATAATCTCAAAAATAAAACAAAACTGAATGTAGAAGCTATTTTGGAGTTTCTGAATTATGTACCGATGAAACTTTTTTCCAGTTCGAAGAGGATTTTTATCAACAAGAATTTGGAATGGCAATGAGCTCACCCTTGTCACCAATTCTGAGTAACAATTTCATGGAACATTTTGAGAAAACATTTATCGAAACTTATCAGAATGGTCCAAAGATATGGTGGAGATACGTCGATACGTTCGCTATCTGGGACCATAACCCAGTTGACATCAACGTTTTCTTGAATTATTTCAACTCAAGAGAACCCACGATAAAATTTACATTAGAAAGGGAAGTTCATAATGAACTTCCTTTTCTTGATGTTATAATCAAAAAATCTATGAATACCCTTGATACGAGTGTGTATCGAAATAAAACTCATACTAACAGATATCTCCACTATAAATCGAATCACCACGCTATCGTCAAAAAAGGTACAGTTAAATGTTCGTATGATAGGGGAAAGACAGTTTGCAAATCAGTTCATAATATGAAAGCGGAAATAACTATCATTAGAACAGTTTTGGAGCCAAACGCATATCCGGAGCGGTTTGTGGGAAGCTCTCAATGGTAAAAAGCAATATACATATAGGTACAACATATACAGATCCCTCAAATTTACAATAATATACATACCTCACAACGAACATCATACCTTATGTTCCCAGTTTGTCTGAGAAATTGTAATGCATCGGTTATAAGTATAATGTAAGAACAACTTTTAGAACCACTAACACATTATGATCTCTTTTGACACAAACTAAACCCGAAAATGCGGTTGAAAAAACGGAAGTATCTATGTGCAATATATCTTGTTCCTGTGCAGAAAGTTATATAGATGAAACCTCAAGACCCTTAGATGTGAAAAAAATGAACATCGTGAATATTTAAGAAGAAGACATATGGTAGGATCGGGGTTAGCGGAACATATTCTAAAATCACCTGATGATCACGCTATAGATTAGAGTGAAACAAAAATCATCACCAAAGAAACTCACAGAAGAATTAAAAAACTCGTTTAGAATCCGCATATATTATTTTGGCAGGTAACAAGTGTATTTCGAATAGCTCTGTGGAAATGGATCGTACCTGGTTGCCATTACTAAGAAGAGAGGTTGAGAACGGAAATATAAACCTCAACTGAACTGAATTCTCAAAAAACATCCAGAATTTTTGTTCATGTAGACTTTCGCGTTTGGCATCTGGACATTCAATTTTTTTGACATGTGTCAAAAGAAATAACTATCACAGTTTGAGGCGGGATTTTTATAGTGAATACATGTTTCGAAAACGGAAAAGAATTGTTCTCCGAAACGTTAATCACTTAAGAAAGCTAAGTATCAATATTTGATTTTTTCAATTGATTATTTTTAATTTGTAGGCGAAATTCACGAATACGTTAAGTTACTGTCTAATTGGACTTTCCAGTAGTTTATATTATGCAGTAACTTTTTGGGGTGAACTTTTCAGTTTACCCTTTACTACAGTTCAGCAGATTCTATTTTGACTTAGCTTTTATTTTTTTTAGATTGTGGAAGTTTATAAACCCCAAAAAATAGTATAAAATATTGAGTCCTCCACAAAAAAATGTCGTTTGAAGAAAATAAATCTAGTTACTGTACATATTTAGTCTAGTCTTTTGTCTTGTGTCTGCAATTGAAGGTGTACCTGCTAGAACCCTAGTCTTGTGTCTGCAACTGCTGTTACTGTACATATTTAGTGGGCTAGAACCCTAGTCTTGTGTCTGCAACTGAAGGTGTATCTGCTAGAACCCTAGTCTTGTGCCAGAAACTGAAGGTGTATCTGCTGTTACTGTACATATTTAGTGGGCTAGAACCCTAGTCTTGTGTTTTGTGTCTGCAACTGAAGGTGTATCTGCTAGAACCCTAGTTTTGTGTCTTGTTGTCTGCAACTAAAGGTGTATCTGCTGTTACTGTACATATTTAGTGGGCTAGAATCTTAGTCTTGTGTCTGCAACTGAAGGTGTATCCGCCATAGATCTCGCAAATAAGAAAAGGCTCAAGCAAGAAGTACATATGAAGACTCCCCCTAACAGTTTTTTCACAACTCGAGATATGAACGGTTTATCCAACTTCATGTATGGATCTTGAACCATTTTATTCAATCTGAACCAACAGAAATCCTAAAACTCTCGTTTTCAATAGGGTATCAAGATGACCTTGCAGTATCCAGCCACACTTCAATTTGAATCATCACATCAGGTAGAACCCTTTCAGTGAAAAATATAGCAGAATTATTCATTTTACATAAAGATATAGATGATTGAGAGTGTTCGATTTCAATAAACAGAATTCAAGTTGAATGGTTTCACATTTTGCAGAATGCATATACTCGGCTCAACATTTGAAACATCATTAACAGAAGAAATAAATATAGGTTAATGGTAATGGTATGGTAGATGGTAAGAGTACGTAAGATCTATCTATGGTTATGCCAAGATTTTCAGCACTGTCTACCCAGTTTTGTGCAAATTTGTGTTTATATTGGCCACGCAACTTTCTGTATCGGTGTTATGAGAAGACAAATATAATTGTATATCATCTGCGTATAGTTGTACTTGACAATGTGATAAAGAAAGTGGTGTATTCAAAAATAAACACTGAAAACATCAAGGGTCCTAAAATACTTCCCTGCGGTACACCTGAGATTGTTTCTTTTAGGGATGACCATGAGTAATCATCCAGTTTGACCCTCTGTGATCGGCCTGTCAGATAGTTGGTCATCTATTTAAGTTAAATGTCATTGAATCCTATGAACTTGAGCTTGCTGATGAGTAAATCAAAATTAACTAAATCGAAAGCTTTCCTTTGATCAAGCAGTACTAAAATAGTGACTTTTGATTGATCTCTGTATCTCGCAAGATCTTCGATTACTTTCAAAAGGGGAGTCTGTGTTCTGTGTTTCAATTTTGTTCAAGAAAAGCTCTTACTTGACGGAAAACATTTTTCTCGAATATTTTGGAAAATGAGGGCAAAATGCTGATAGGGCGTAGGTCATTGATCGTGGTAGGTGCATTCTTTTTCGGAATTGGAATTATTTTCTCCTTGTGAACAATATTACTGTCTTTATGAATGGAAAAGATCGGTCCCATTTCGATTCAAACTATCTAATGACTAGAGGAAACTTGAACGGATGTGCGATAATGAATTATCTGAAAGCAACGCCCTCGACTGATATTTAGGACTAGTATTATGTCCGTATCATTTTAATTTTCAACGGCCGGCTTGCAAAAAAATTAAAGTACCTACAATGTAATGTAGAGAACAGTGAAACAGAACGTTCACACCAAAATATATCAAACTAAATTTGGATCACTTCCGAGCAAGATCAAGGGTCAGCTTAACCTTATCTTCAATACCGAGATAAAAACTCATTAATTTGTTCTAGTCAACCATTCTTTCTGTTAGTTCTGTGGTTCGTTTGGGAAAATCTCGTCATGTCATCAATAATAATTTGGTGTAGCCGAATAGTTATCACAAAAGGTTGTTGATATCATTACTCTAAATATATAAGAGTTCAATGAGCTATCATTTCTCTCGAGCAAGTCTGATCGTTTTCAAAATCGCTTTTCATAATAAGAATATTGAATTCATAAAAATCAATAACTAATATAGAAAATAATGACCAAGTATGAAACACAGTGTGCTGTTATGATAGTACTTCGATACTATTATCTAGAAGTAGTTACTTATTCTAGAAGATTATTCTAGGTATTTAAATATTTTTGAATAATCTTTTGTTTTCCTCCAGTAAGAAATTGAAAATGTTTTATTCTATTGTACGCCAATAAGCATATTTATTTTCATTGATTTTTTTACGAAAAGTTCAATAATTAATATAACTACTAGATATTTAGGGTTGTTGTGAATGAATATTCAATATTTATCGAATAAAAGCAAAATTAAGGATATAAAGATGTGTTTTCTGGGTCTTTTTCAAAATAGGTTATCCATAAAATATTGGGAAATTATCAATGTATCAAGGATCAGCTCTACTTAAAGTTTAAATGAACATTGATTTGAATACAAATTTCACCCCACTACTACAAATCGAAATTAACACCAATTCATTTAGAATATCTTAGAGACCCACTATAAAGATGTACGTCAGATATACAGGGTGGTCACTTTTTTAATGGGATTGTAATTTGTGTGTAATTTGTTTCAACGGAACAAATGACAAATTCGATAATAGCGATTACTCGTAAGAAGATTGAGACTGCATTGGATGGTATTCAAGGAGACGAAATAAGCAAATGTATAACAAGTTTGAGTTCCAGAACCGCAAAGTGCATTTAACAAAATGGTGGACATGTCGAACTCTTACTTCACTAATCTTTATTTATTTTCGAACAATCATTTGATTTTCCTTTCAAATAAATGATATTTTCGTTAGATTATTATGAATTATGTTTTTCTCCACTTGAAAATATGTAAATAATTATTACTTGTTTCTTGCTTCGATTCTGATAAATTCCATTCAGTTTAAGATGAATAAATGTCAAAATCGCCTGAAAATCAACTTTGAAAGACTTTGTATGATATATCATTGAATTCAGCGTAGAAAGTTATTCCGTATTGAAAAAAATTAGGTTGAGGGTGCCCCAGAGAGTACGAAACGTTGGATTCAAAATTTGATTACGTCAAATTGAGGAAAATTTACTGTCGAATAAAAAATGCCCATAATTTTTTTTGATAATTTTTGAAATAACNAACAAAATTCAAGATGAAATACAAGAAATATCTTTTTGGTCAATATCAACTTTTTTATTATTTTTTCATATTTTTTTTCCTGGAAGGATTAAAGAAAACGCGTTTGTTCAAAATTAACTTTATTCATCAACTTAATCTCCATTAAGAGCTACACAATCATTTTAGGGCCGCTCTAACATTTCAATACCACTTTTGTAGAACGATTTATCTTTTGCCTCAAAAAAAAACTTAGTTTTTTTGAGGTCTGCGAACAGGTCTGGATGTGGGAGCCATTCGAAGCTCAATTCATGTAGTTTTGCCTTTTTTTTTGATTGACTTGTGACAGGGTGCTTTGTCTTGATGAGACAAATTTTTTTCTTTGCCATATGCGTTCGTTATTTGGCAATTTTAGCCTTCACATGCTCCAATAATGGTATATAATATTCACTGTTGGTAGTATTTCCCTTCTCAAGATAGTCGATGAATACTGGATCACGCACATTCCAAAGTACAGAGGCCATAACCTTTCCAGCCGATTGTTGTGCTTTCGGGTACTTTGGATGAGGTTCAGCAGTTGCTCGCCACCCAGATGATGATCGTTTTCATTCCAGATTGAAATGATGGATGCATGTTTCATCCATTGTCACATATCGACGCCAAAATTCTAATTTGGTATGTTTAAACATGGCCAAACACTGCGCAGGATCACCAAGACGTTCTTGTTTGCGGTCAACAGTGAGTTGGCGCGGCACCCACTTTGAACAGAACTTTCTCATAGTCAAATACCAATGCTATATAAAGCCAATACGGTCTTTCGATATCTTTACAGTGTCAGCTAATTCACGCAACTTCACTTTTTGATCAATCAAAACGATTTTGCGTATTTTTTATGTTTTCTGGTGTTACTGCCTCATTTTCTGGTGTTACTGCTCCATTTGGACGTCCACTGTGTTCTGCATCATCAGTGTCTCTACGACCACATTTGAATTCAGCAAATCAATGTTTAATTGTTGTTTCTGATGGAGTGGAGTCCTTATAACACACTCCAAGCCATTGCTTCGCTTGAACGGTATTTTTTCCATCAAGAAGCAGTGTAAAAATAACAAAAGTATTGTCATTCTCAGCACAATAACTCTTAAAACTTATGGGTAGAATACCATGAAATTTCAACAACTTCCTTTCGAAGGTTAGTACTGACTAAAAAGACGATAAATACAGTAAGACAAGCGACATCTATGTGTTAGGTCCAGGACTTTACAGCTCATATAGTATAATGATGCTAATACTTCGATGAGGTTAATAAAGTTAGGACAGCATTTTTGAAGCAGAGTGCAAAAATATTTCAGTGGTCTCGTCTCCAAATGAATTGAACTCCGCCCTTTTTTCTTGTTCATCAGTTCATGGTCACAAATATAAATGGGCTTGTTTCACGATTTTTGGTTTAAAATTCATTTGGTAGTAATTTCAAATTGAAAAATAGTGTACTTTGTTTCAGATCTCTAAATAGCGTGGTTTTCCCGTAATTAATTGTTAAAACTCGGAATTTCTAGGCCCGTGACGTCACGTCCCGCTTCTTGTTAGATTGATCAATAGGAACAATGCAAATAATGAACATTACCAAATTGTAAAATTCACGGAGCGTATAAACAGTTTCTAATTCATTAGTGATTCAAAGTAAAATCGGTTTCGACAACTAAATCTAAGATGAAAGTGTAAGAAATGCATTGGAAGGGAGAATTGATTATACATGGGACCCAAATAACACAAAACGCAATTAAAACGTTATTTTTGAAATATCTTCGGCAATAGACATTTCCATGTTGATATCACAGGAATTTAAATAATGGAAGTGTATATGAACCCGTTAACGTTTAAATTCATGAAAAAAATCTCCATTCGAAACAAAATATACTCGAAAACCATGGTTCTAAATAGAATTTAACAAGCTATATTTTCCATATATTCTCCATATGAAATAAAATGTACTCGAAAAAATGGTTCTATAGAATTTAACAAGCTATATTTTCAAATGGGTCTCAAAGGCTCTTGAATGAGTATGCATTCATGCCACCCACTAAAAGTAAGAAATTCAACGTTATATATTAGCCATACTGCCACCCAGTCAGTTAGTTATCTCTTAAATGTATGAGACAATGTACTCTTTCTAATGTTTCATAACTTCTTATTTTTGTTAAAATAATTGACACTTGGCAACACCCCTGTAGACACGATCCATTTTATTGGTCAACAGATACGCGGCCAATTAAAACTCTTGCTTCTCGAATTTTTCTTTTGTCTGCAAATATAAAGAGGTATTGGGACCGATTAGGCTCAATAAGTATAATATATCCCTAACTCGATCAGTCTATAAGCAAATCAGTATCATTTTCAATAGCATGAAACAAGCCCTTTGTACAATTTATGTGAGAAATAAAGGCGATCATTAGTATCATTATTATCATTAATTTTGGTTATTCTACTGATGCCAGAACACCAAAAAACATCACCATTGAATCTCCAAAAATTCTTCGAAATTATTTATTGCATTTTATTACAAATACAATCGCTGTCCTCAGTTCACAACTGAATCCGCCTCTGGCCCATTCAAAGAAAAGAATAATAACGCCGGCATTCAAAAATATGTTCTCTTCGTTCGTGCGGACATCTGGATCTTTCACAGCATCCCAGCTTTTGCTCTGCAAGCATCTGGCCGCACATAGTTTAGTGTGCAGTGTAGTTCAGTAGTCTTTTAGTCGCAAAGCGCGATTGAAGACCGACTTAGTGGGTTATGCGCCATTGTCCACTGCTCAAGAATAGGTCCATTTAGAGAGAATCTTCGCTTAATAGCCAGCACGGCCAGTTTCTTCGGCTAATCGATTTCGAAAATCTCGAGAATGCGTACATGAGGACGTTATTATTGGTCAGGTACAGTGCTGGTATTCTGTGTGAATTGTGCGAGCTTTTAAAATGTGGATTTTCGCGGCTTTAAGTGTGGTGTCACTTATTTTCAACTGTGTTTGTCAACAAACCCCTGCCATAGGAAACAGAGGGACTAGGTGTTATGACAGTTTCAACAGGCCGCAGGTAAAGTATTACGAAAAACCTCAAAACATTAAATGCGTTTCTAAGAATTATTTTATCTTCCACAAAATATAACGCCACATGAACCTCATTTATCAGAAGTCTGGTTCTTGGCTATGGAAATAGATCGTATTTCACTGAGGGGGTGTTCATTATTCACTTTCACGATAAAGAAGATTTGAAACAAGAACTGATTTTTGTATTTAATATTCGAATTTCTCCAAGAACAAATGAACATAAGTAATGTCAGTTTTTTTTGAAAATGGGAACTCCAGTACCGGATTCAGGGATAATGAATCCAATCGTATTCCGACAATATAACATTTTTTCACGACAATAAATTTTTGAATAACTCTTGGTGAAAAATAAAATTTAGGATTTCACCTTTACTCACTCAAACCTTTCGTAATCTACATTGTATTAAAAAAATATTCAACTTCAACTGATAACAAAATTGTTTGAAATAAAACAGAATGTAGACAATTATTTTTCGTATGATTCAGCCTTCATATAACTAAAAGTATTTGTTTCGAAAGTCTTTTATTATTTCGTGTAATTCAATGTTTATATGAAAATACCTGTTTTGAGAAGGTTTTTTTTTTCTTCCAATTTGTGTCTAATAGTTACTTCTTTGCATGATCTACGCATCTTTGTATATAAAGTTAATTTTTGAAATTGATTGCTTCCCTACTTTATTTTCACTTAAGAAATACTACTACAGGAGTGTTCAATATATGCAACTTTTGTAAAGTGTTTGAGATGCTTGTTAGCAACATTATTAGCCCCAATCAACACGGTTTCATGAAAGGACGTTCAACCGTCACCAATCTTGTAACAGTCACTCAATGTATTGCAGAGGTTATTGATTGTCAGTCTCAGACTGATGTCATCTACACTGATTTTTCTAAAGCGTTCGACAGACTTGACCATAGTATACTGCTCAACAAGTTTCCGACTTTTGGGTTATCCAATGAATTAATTACCCTCTTCAAATCGTATTTTTACAACCGTAAGCAGTACGTCCAACTCATTGGCCTCAAGTCTATCGAATATATAGCCACATCTGGTGAACCACAAGGATCAAATCTAGGACCCCTACTGTTCAATATGTTCCTTACTGATATCGGAGCTGAGATTGATGTCAATTTCCTTTTATACGCAGATGACTTGAAACTCTATCACAATATAACATGTTCTAACGATTACGAACGTATCGCCCTGAATTTAAATCACGTTGCTACATGGTGTCGGAAGAATAATCTATCTCTCAACATATCCAAAGTAATGTAATGTCTTACTCACTGTAAACGAACTTGAATTTATACAACTACGTCATAAACAATCAAGTTCTGGAGCGTCCTGACACACTCACTGATCTAGATGTTACTTTTGATTCATCCCTCTCTTTCTAGAAACATATTGACACTACTCTAACAGCAGCTTATCGCATGTATGGATTCTAAGTTAGAAATACAAAAGACTTCGAAAAAGCTTCAACATTGAAATTACTTTATTTCACTTTTGTTCGATCTAGGCTGGAATATGCATCTGTCGTGTGGAGTCCCTACTATCAGGTTCATATAAATCAACTAGAAGCCCTACAGAGGCGCTTCCTAAAATATATGTTCTTTAAACTTGAAGGCACGTATCCTACTGTTTTTATTTTTAATAATTTTTAATAATTACTCATTTAGTAAAACACAGGTTATGTATACTGTAGTAAATACAACTGTATACACAATAGGTATCCGAGCCCAGTATGGCGAGGGATCGTAACGCTATACCAGTGGAAAGAGAATCGCACAGTCGCTTGCGCATGGCGGCCCGACGCCATGCCAGCAATCGGTTTTACGTACGGCTATAGATGTTTCACATCAAAAATTCATGATGAGATTCATTTCGATTTTCACTATAAAAGGTTTAAACGTGTTTCGCTAAACAATAGTTTTCTCAAGTAAGATTTAATTGAATTTAGGAAATGATTTGCTTCATCAATTTTGTTCAGAATTTCGAGCAAAATTGAAATATGGAATGATATATAGGGTGTTCTATTAAAGAAGAAGCAACTTTATTTCTTCAAGACTTTTTGACTGATCCTGTATAGTCAATTTGTATTAAGTGTGATAGATTTTGAAAAACTCTAAAACTTTTGTGCCATAACATTTTTCGCTAGCTATCTTACTTTAGATAATCGACCGTTTTCATACATATCAGCGACCATGTATAACAATGAATTATATGACTTTCTAATGACTAATAATCCTTCCTCAGTTTGGGTATGAACTAATTTAAAATAAACATTATAAAAGAAATTTCACCAACATTTTAAAAGGAATCATTGAACCAATTACCACATTGGAAAATAGATTCAGAGGGGACATGGTCAATCATACTTGGTAATTCACTAAATTTTCAAAATTCTTGAATGTGATCATTTCTAAACATTTCAAATATTTCTCTGCCAAATGGAATTCGTCATAATTGTTGTTGAACTTATGCTCCTCCGCCAAAAATTGGTTTGCAAATGTGGAATTGGTCTTCGCGTCTTCTATGTTCTTTTATACTTTGGGAAAATGTTCTTCCCGTTTCGCCAATATAATATTTTGGGAAAGATCCACAAGCCTACTTTTATACTCCTAATATATTCGACACTGTCTTTCAAATACTCGTAAATCTGCCTAAATTATTAGTTATTCTCTAAGCTGCGGCCAAGTCTTTCGTTTTCAAAAAACGAGAGGTGTTACTGGTGAGTTCAGCAAAGTATGTTAATGTCCTACGACGGTTATTATCGTTTCTTGAAACGGAATAGACTTGGTAAATGACTCGTTTTCGTTGTTTTTTGGGAAGAATGAAGTCAATAATATCTATCTTGTAACCGTTGCTTAGAGCAATATGTTTGATAGAACTCAGTTGCATCTAAAAATTACTTTATGGTAGTTTGTGAAGCAAACTAATGAATTCTGCTACTTTATGCTACTAGGAATGTGTCGAGGAATTTTGTATAACAATTTACGTATAAGATGATTTGTGAAAAATTGCAAAATTAGTTTACTAGTGTAATAGTCAAATCTGGAAATTTTATTGAATTATTCTACTTCACAGGGGTGAATTTGAATTGATGGGTGAATAGAATTGACGAATTCGATAATCTTTGCTGCCTGAATGAAACATTTTATTGAAATTGAAATAATTTTCAGATAGACAAATAGTAAGTAGATCCAAAATTTATTGTTTTACTACAATAATAATTTACAGATAGGCAAATAATAAGTAGATCCAAAATTTATTGTTTTACTACAAAATTAACATGGTTTCTGCTGAGGGGTACTCAATCAGCTCAATTGTTTCAAATAGAGGAATACTGGGCAATGAATTTTGCACACCAAACGATATAAACTTGCATGTCTAGTGTAAATCTCACAATAAAATGTTACTTAAATACGTTATGGATTTTCATCAGGTATCGACCGATTCCATCACATAACGAAGTAAACTATACCTATTCAAAGAGGATTAGAAATATCTTCTTAATATTTGTCAGTATACTGCTTTATCATCAATTCTATTGAAAACCATTAAGAAAGGTGTGAATTAAAACCTTGAGTGTGGTTTTAGTAAGATCAACCATTCAAGTATATGACAATCATCTTTGGAAGGATTCAATCAAGAGGCACATCTGTTCAAGATCAATATTGCAGTGCGCAAGGAAGCTTCAAAAGTCAATTTTTGTTATCTGCTTTTCCTGCTGAAGTTCAGTGTTTCTCATACAAGTTACTGTTCCTTTCACACCAAGTTACATTAAGCATGTCACGTTAGCTTTACTTGGTGACTAGATAACCGGTTAACTACATTTTCTATTATGTCAAAGAACCTATTGTCCATCAACTTACGTTTCCCTTCGAACTCATCTCTCGAGCAGGATTGTAGCTGTACATCTTCGTAATTCATTCGAACTTGATGGAGACATCTGCAGTAGCTCACGACTTCTAATGTGACTTCAGTACATAATTCAACGATAACAATGAATTCGTATAAACTACTGTAGGGTCGTTAGATACCTACTTCGTGACATAGGTGAAACGGGTGAAACGACATAAGTTGGATACGTTGTTATCCTAGTAGAAGAAAATTGCTGCCGGGTATTCATGATTATTTCTTATGAGAATTCAGAAAAAACCTACCTGACAACATCGAGAAGAGCCAACTGCATTGCAACATCATTTATTTCTAGTTTTAACAGCTTCAAGTATCATAAAATGATGGAAAATGGATTGGTAGTACAGTTTCCAAACATTTGAATTAAATATTATTGTGTTCTCAAGTTACAACTGAGAACTGAAACGAAAAAATGTGTAATATTCCTTTAGGATATGTAGAATTCAAGGTCAGAAAAGCATGTGAATAAGAGAGTCATTTTTGAAGAAGAGGTTGAAGAAAATTCCCTACTTCGAAACTTCGCGGACCGCCCCAAATATTGTATTATATACCAAGTACATATAAACATTCGTAGATGAGGTATACCATACCTTTATCAATTGAAATAACACAAATAAAATCTAATTTAGTACTAGCAGCCTAGTTAACCTGTTTTACCAACCACTGATAAGTTTCCTAACTAGCCTGTGTGTGTGTGAATCAGACTGATGCGATTTGAATATTTTCAAATCTCTGTTATGCACACGAAACATTCATAGATTGAACTTCGTACCATTTTTTATGGAAATATATGCGGGAGCATTCTACAGCGCACATCGTACTTACCTTACTTCAGCGTGCTTGCTCCTGTTTTGTTTTGTTGAAACAAGCACGAGCGCGTATCGAAATCGATAGTGGGGAAATAGAAAAGCACTGAAAGCAGACTGCCAGTCATCAGTCGCAGCACAAACAACGGAGTAACCGGACATTTGTTTTATGATTTCTGTCGTTTTCATTCGTTTGATAAAAAATCTCTCTGTACCTACGTTGATATGGACACTAAAAAACGAAAAGTCGACAGTGAAAAT